AATGTTTGGCGTGTTTGTAGGACAGTAAACCTAATGAGTATAATGAATGATCAATGTATGAGATGAGAGATTGGATTCTGATACGTCATGCTTGATTTACAGGGACTATAGACCTTGTTTCCAACTTGTCGATGAGAACTTGGTGCAATGGCGTAGTGGCGTAGCGGGGACCTAGCGATCGACGGGGGGGGGGGGGCTCGGGAAATGGAAGGGGTGTCTTCGGGGAATATACAATGAAGCTACAATGTGATGCGGATGGAGTACTGATGTGGATAGAAACAAGTGAGGTTGGCCAACTTGTTTTGTAACTGGATTTGATATGGTGTATATTATTTTGTTTTATGACAAACAAAGAAATTCGCCATAGTGTGTCCAACTATGACCGCGTCAAACTCTTCATAGACCTACAGAGAAATACATGTAGATGACTCTTATCGAGGATGGGTTTTCGGAAATTATATATACGAGTTTTTAAAACTAGTATTCCGGCCATCTTCATGTTCGACCTTAGAGGTGGCGTTTCTCTTATTATCTCATCTCATATCCTTCGTACTTCATAGAAGGTAATTGCATTAACAGGTTATAATTATGTACAGTGAATCAATAATGGAGATCGCCATTGTAATAAAGTGTCAACATTTTGCTAGAATCAAGAAAACAAAAGATGATGAACAAATACGGGAATATTGTTATTCGGGCATAAGACGTCGACCTCCTCCCCCCCCCCCCCCCCCCCCCCCCCCCCCCCTCACTAGCGAATTGGTGCCCTTACAATACTTTATCTTTTACTTAAACATTGTGTAAACTGATCGGTAGGTCTAAAGCAAAACATTTTATTAGCCGCTAAACTTGCCGCTGCGAGAAAAAAAGGAGTTGAAAAAAACACTTCCGCAGTTTCATTCACCAAATAAGCGCCATAAGCATTTCTTACATTTAAAGAAATCCTTCTTAACCTCCATTTCAACCAAAGTTTACATTGCTGCCAGCAAATAGATTCCAATGTGTTTACTTTACACGGAACAGGACTGCGATACAATGTCAGTATGAAAATATTTGTATGACATGGACTTGTAACACGCGTGTTTATAGTAGGTCAAATGCGTTTCTTCCACGACACTCAGCTATCGATATCAATAGTTGTATCGATACAACCGAGGCGCCATGACCGTCATAGAGTAAGGACCTCCTCCGTTTCGCTCCGCTCCTCTCCTCTCCACCCAATACCACGCCCAATACCACGTGCCACGTGCAATTATTATGGCACATCCCAAGAGAGCCCGCCAGCGCTCGGGCGCGGATGGGCAACTGAGAAAAGACCTACGTGGCAGCCCGCAGGAGCTTTTACCTTCAATTCAACAGCTGCTCGATGCTCAGTCAGAACAAATTTGGAACAAATTTCAGATGGAAATTCGAGGACTAGAAAGCAGAATAACTACAGAAATTAAGCAGTTCGAAGCCAAAATAGCTGAAGTTATCACTTCTGTCGACTACAACGCAAATGACATAGAACATTTGAAAAATGACACCATTCCGAATATGAAAAAGCAAGTGGAAGAAGATAGAATGCAATTAAAGGAGGAGATAGACAGACTAAGCACATACATAAGCAGAGAAAACTTGGTGTTTTTAGGAATTCCGGAGAAGGAACCTGAAAATGGGGCGGAGAATGTGTCCAAGGTGTTAGAAGAATTTTATACGTCGCATCTGAAGCTAGAGTTCGGCCTGATAGAAGGAATACAATACCAACGAGTTCATCGCATTGCGGCGGCAGTGAGGCCGAGACCAATAAAGGCTCGATTTGTGCATTACGCGGACAGAGAACTTGTATTGAAAAATGCAAAAAATCTTAGAGGCACAAAGATGTACATTACGCAGGATTTGCCAATTAGAACGAGACAACGGAGAAGACAACAAATGGAAGCATTGAGAGAAGCGAGAAATGCGGGGAAGTTGGCTTATTTCTCGAAAACGGAGCCATGGAAGCTGTACGTGGATAGGGTAGTCCTACCTATAGAAAAGCAGGCAGGATTCATCGACCAATGCAGAAGAACAGGACCAAAAGGACAAGACAAGCGTTCTAACAGCCCACTACACCCGGTACCAGGAGCGACGTCGACCAAGGAATTATCCCGAGGAGCGACCAACGTAAGGAGTGACAGAAAGGCCAAGGCAGACGAAGGGATGGCAGACGAAGGGATGGAAGTACATGTGGAGGGTGTAAAGCCAGTTTAACCAGGAAGCTAGATAAGTATAATCTATTATTAAGAATTATTTGAGCAATCATTATGATCTGAAGAAGGATGAAAGAGAGAAACAGAAGGAGAACAGACATTATTAACGATAAATATAATCAGCCTAAAGATTGGAACAGCAAACTATCTGAAACTGGAATGAAAGTGAGAAATCAGCTCGGCAAGAAGCAGAGAGATACGAAGTAGTGAGGTATTCTTCAGTACAGGGAAAGGAAAGGAAAAAAAACAAAAACCAACGTTTGAAGAGAAGAAGAAGTACTCAAGTAGCTGAGAACTGACATTAAGGAAATTTTTTTTTGGTATTTTTGAAGAAGAGAAAGAAAGGACATGAAATAATACTTTCTTGCTGGCCTGTATATTATGTGTAAGAATTATACCGTGTTTCTTTTATGTTGCATTTAAACGGAGAAAAAAAAAAAACAGAGTTACCTAATGATGTGTTAAGCTGGGTAAAAAAAAAAAAAAAAAAATGATTTTTGATGGTATGAATTATTTATCAAGGATCTAGATAATCTACACCTTCAAGCCTTCACATTGAAAGAAGAATTAGTGGCTTGGCTGTTTTTTTTTTTTTTTTTTTTTTTTGTTGTTGTTGTTTGTTTTAGTAACTGCATTTTGTAATTTAAAAAATGCACTTATGAAAGAAGACTTTGCATTCAGGCAGTGTGATAAGTGATTCAAAATTAGAAGTAAAACATGACAATTAATGAGTGTATAACCCGCAGACGATAGTTGATATAAAAGCAGAAACTCCTCCTTTGAAGGAAACAATTAACTGTGCTTTTATAACTAGTGAAATTCAAAGTAGGTTCAAGATGTTGAGAGTAACAGGAAGCATGATGTAGATAGAAATGCGAACGACTCCGGGAGAGAGAGAATAAAATTCCTGTAAACGACATATTTTGACTATTACAGTGGACAGGCTAAAAATGTTCATATCATATGCATAATACTTAGATTGACAACAAAAGCAAATCTTTTTAAGGGGATGGCATCTGTTTTATTAAGTTTTATTGGAATTCTTGAAGACATCTTAAAGAAAGGTTGCCGGTTGCTGGTCCATTTATATGAAATAAGAAAAGGAGTTTTGTGAACTGGGGTAGGTAGGAGGAGGTGAGATTGTGCATAGTTGGAAATGCAAGCTGTACACATAGAACAGGTTGTATTGAGATAAGGAATTTTGTTATTACCGTATGCTGTTTTGTATTGTGAACTTAGGATGACATGCAGTATGTACAATCAAGGCAGGATAGAATAGTGTTGAATGAGTTACAATGCAGTCGATCTGTACTATGTAGTAAGGTATTTGTTTTGTGAACTGTTGAATGTAGAAAGAAGAGTGAGATATGGCATAGTCTTGAATTGCAAGCGTTATACAATGAAGGCAGGTTAGTTTCAGAGTACAGTCTTAATCCAAGTGTTAATGACAGAAGATTGACAGAAAGGAAGATGGAACATGTACTTTGGTTAGTAGATAAAAAGGCATAATAATGGGGGGAAGATGCTGGGTTGGACATATGATAATTTATACATGGGGGTTTTAACCCTTCTTTTGTTGTACCCCTACATGACGGTCATGGCGCGATGCAATCACAGTTGATATGCAGGAACTCATTGGTTTTATTAACTGGAATGTACAACATGTACTTTGGTTAGTAGATAAAAAAGCATGATAATGGGGGGAAGATGCTGGGTTGGACATATGATAATTTATACATGGGGGTTTTAACCCTTCTTTTGTTGTACCCCTACATGACGGTCATGGCGCGATGCAATCACAGTTGATATGCAGGAACTCATTGGTTTTATTAACTGGAATGTACAACATGTACTTTGGTTAGTAGATAAAAAGGCATAATTATGGGGGGAAGATGCTGGGTTGGACATATGATAATTTATACATGGGGGTTTTAACCCTTCTTTTGTTGTACCCCTACATGACGGTCATGGCGCGAAGCATTCGCAATTGATATGCAGGAACTCATTGCTTTTATTAACTGGAATGTACAAGTTGAGATATGGCATACGGTAGTTAGAAATGGCAAGCTGTACACTGTATGTACAATGAAGGCAAGAGAGAATAGTGTTTAATTGAGATGGAGATAGCACAGAGGAAATGTATTTACACTGTAGAAGCAACTTGGAAGGAATATTTATAAAGTGATTTTTTTTTTTTTTTTTTTTTTTTTTTTTTTTTTTTTTTTTTTTTTTTTTTTGCTGTGATGTTGCAAATGTTAAAAGAGAAGTAGTTTCTCAATGCAATTTTACTTGCAGCAGTTTCAGAACACTGCCTTAATCCAAATGTAAATGAGTTACAATGCAGTCGAGCTGTAGTAAGGTATTTGTTTTGAGAACTGTTGAGGTTTTTTTTTTTTTTTTTTTTTTTTTTTTTTTTGCTGTGTTATTACAAGTGTTAAAAGAGAAACAGTTTCTCGAAGTAATTTTACTTACAGCAGTTTCAGAACACTGCCTAAATCCAAATGTTAATGAGTTACAATGCAGTCGATCTGTAGTAAGGTATTCCTTTTGTGAACTGTTGAATGTAGAAAGAAGGGTGAGATATGGCATAGTCTTGAATTGCAAGCGGTATACAATGAAGGCAGGATAGAAAAGTTTTGAATTGAGATTGAGATAGCACAGAGGAAATGTAATAGAGGAGCTATTTTGAAGAAATATTATATGTAGACTATTTCCTTCAGTAAAGTTGAGAGTGGAAATGTTTCTTGCACAGAAAAAGAAAGTTAGAGAGTATGAATTCTTTATATGTTATTACAAATATGAAAGAGAAGGGATTTCTTCATGCAAATTTGTTTAGGTTAGTTTCAGAGTACAGTCTTAATCCAAGTATTAATGACAGAAGATTGACAGAAAGGAAGATGGAATATGTACTTTGGTTAGTAGATAAAAAGGCATAATAATGGAGGGAAGATGCTGGGTTGGACATATGATAATTTATACATGGGGGTTTTAACCCTTCTATTGTTGTACTCCTACATGAAAAAGACCATTGATGTAATCGCAGTTGATATGCAGGAAATTATTGGTTTTATTAACTGGAATGTACAAGGAGGTAAGATAGGCAAGCTGTATGTACAATGAAGTTTTTTTTTTTTTTTTTTTTTTTTTTGCTATGCTGTGTTGTTGCAAAGATAAAAAAAAAGAAAAAAGAAGTAGTTTCTAGAAGCAATTTTACTTGCAGCAGTTTCGGAACACTACCTTAATCCAAATGTTAATGAGTTACAATGCAGTCGATTTGTAGTAAGGTATTTGTTTTGAGAACTGTTGAAGTTTTTTTTTTTTTTTTTTTTGCTGTGTTGTTACAAGTGTTAAAAGAGAAACAGTTTCTCGAAGCAATTTTACTTACAGCAGTTTCAGAACACTGCCTAAATCCAAATGTTAATGAGTTACAATGCAGTCGATCTGTAGTAAGGTATTTGTTTTGAGAACTGTTGAAGTTTTTTTTTTTTTTTTTTTTTTTTTTGCTGTGTTGTTACAAGTGTTAAAAGAGAAACAGTTTCTCGAAGCAATTTTACTTACAGCAGTTTCAGAACACTGCCTAAATCCAAATGTTAATGAGTTACAATGCAGTCGATCTGTAGTAAGGTATTCCTTTTGTGAACTGTTGAATGTAGAAAGAAGGGTGAGATATGGCATAGTCTTGAATTGCAAGCGGTATACAATGAAGGCAGGATAGAAAAGTTTTGAATTGAGATTGAGATAGCACAGAGGAAATGTAATAGAGGAGCTATTTTGAAGAAATATTATATGTAGATTATTTCCTTCTGTAAAGTTGAGAGTGGAAATGTTTCTTGCACAGAAAAAGAAAGGTAGAGAGTATGAATTCTTTATATGTTATTACAAATATGAAAGAGAAGGGATTTCTTCATGCAAATTTGTTTAGGTTGTAACCCTTCTTTTGTTGTACTCCTATATATGAAAAAGACCATTGATGTAATAGCAGTGGATATGCAGGAAGTCATTGGTTTTATTAACTGGAATGTACAAGTAGGGAGATATGGCTTACTGTAGTTTGAAATGGCAAGATGTATGTATAATGAAGGCAAGAGAGAAAAGTGTTGAATTGAGATGGAGACAGCACAGAGGAAATGTATTTACACTGTAGAAGCAACTTGAAAGGAATATTTATTGATGTAGTGATTTTTTTTTTTTTTTTTTTTTTTTTTTTGCTGTGTTGCTGCAAAGGTTAAAAGAGAAGTAGTTTCTCAATGCATTTACTAGCAGGAGTTTCAGAACACTACCTTAATCCAAATGTTAATGAGTTACAATGCAGTCGATCTGTAGTAAGGTATTTGTTTTGAGAACTGTTGAAGGTAGAAAGAAGGGGAGATATGGCATAGTCTTTGAATTGTAAGCGTTATACAATGAAGGCAGGATAGAAAAGTTTTGAATTGAGATGGAGATAGCACAGAGGGTGGTCTATCTTTTTTTTTTTTTTTTTTTTTTTTTTTTTTTGTTGATTAACCTTTACATGGAAAAAGACCATGATGTAGTAGATTTGTAGGAAGATATTAGTTTTATTTTTTGTTGTACTCCTATATGAAAAAGACCATTGATGTAATAGCAGTTGATATGCAGGAAGTCATTGGTTTTATTAACTGGAATGTACAAGTAGGGAGATATGGCTTACTGTAGTTTGAAATGGCAAGAGGTATGTACAATGAAGGCAAGAGAGAATAGTGTTGAATTGAGATGGAGACAGCACAGAGGAAATGTATTTACACTGTAGAAGCAACTTGAAAGGAATATTTATTGATGTAGTGATTTTTTTTTTGATTTTTTTTATTTATTTATTTGTTATTTTTTGTGTTGTTGCTGTGTTGCTGCAAATGTTAAAAGAGAAGTAGTTTCTCAATGCAATTTTACTAGCAGGAGTTTCAGAACACTACCTTAATCCAAATGTTAATGAGTTACAATGCAGTCGATCTGTAGTAAGGTATTTGTTTTGAGAACTGTTGAAGGTAGAAAGAAGGGGAGATATGGCATAGTCTTTGAATTGTAAGCGTTATACAATGAAGGCAGGATAGAAAAGTTTTGAATTGAGATGGAGATAACACAGAGGGTGGTTTATCCTTTTTTTTTTTTTTTTTTTTTTTTTTTTTTTTTTTTTTTTTTTTTTTTTTTTTTTTTTGTTGTTGATTAACCTTTACATGGAAAAAGACCATGATGGAGTAGATTTGTAGGAAGATATTAGTTTTATTTTTTTATTTTTTTTTACAAGGAAATGTAGAAACAAAGGTCAGACAGTGCATAATTTTCAATTGCAGGCTGTATGACAAATAAGTAGGAAAGCTAAATTAGGGGAGAGGGGAGAGGGGGAGGGGACTGCCATGCAACGTTTGCAAAGGCAGTCTGGTTAATCATTATGTATGATTCGCCACGCGAACTCTGTTATTTGTCTGTTTCATGTTGTCATCTTATGTTTTCTTGTGTTCTTTTCCTTTTATTTCCTTTTCTTTTTTTTCTTTTTTTCAAATATGGGTTCTCGAATATTTGTAGTAGTCTCATGTATTTATACATATTCTTTTTCTTTCTTAGTTTCCTTTCTGGTAGGGAAGAGGGTCGTGAAGTTGTTTCATTGAAAATATTAATTTGCCAAGAGATGATCCCTTTATCGGCAAGGTCGGAATTTATAGAGGGTCCCAGCTCATATATAGATAAGGGTTTATTTCAACAAAAAAAAGATGGATAATAAAGGGAACTTGTTTTCATGTAACTATCTTACACTAAACGTGAGGGGAATTAGAGATAGAAGCAAACGAGAAAAAATGTTTAATTGGTTTAGGACAAAGTCTATAGATATAATATACTTACAAGAAACATACAGTACACCTGATATCGAAAAGAAATGGCAATTGGAGTGGGGCGGGAATTGTATCTTTAGTCATGGTACAAGCCACAGTAGAGGAGTTTTGGTATTAATAAATAGTAAGTTAGACATTGAAATTAGTGACACTTGTGCAGACATAAATGGAAGATATTTATTGATTAGATGTAATATACAAGGTCAGAAGATGTTGCTAGGAAATGTTTATTTTCCTACTGGAAATAACGAAGGGGAGCAAATAAAATGTTTAATGGGTTTAAGGGAGTTGTTGTATAGAAACAATTCAGAAGGGAACCCAGTAGTTCTTGGAGGTGATTTTAATGTTATTAGAGACAAGAACTTAGATTATTTTGGACAAGTTACAAAGAAGCAATCAAAATTCAGTAGCAAATTAGAAGAATTCATGGATGAATTTAAATTAAGAGATGTATGGAGAAATAAAAATAAAGATAAAAAACAATATACTTATAGACAAGGGAATCCATTTATGCAAAGCCGTTTGGATTATTTCATTATATCAGAGAATTTAGAACAGATAACATCCAAATGTGACATTATTCCCTCCTTAGCACCCGACCATTCAGCTGTTAATTTGGTTCTGCATGATAGAACGTCTAGACAAATTCAGGGTAAAAGGGGTTATTGGAAGTTCAATAATAGCTTGGTAAATGATAGAGACTATGTTTTAAAGATGAAGGAAGAAATACAGACTTTAAAGAACAAAATGTTATCTGAGATAAAAGACAAGAGAGTATTATGGGACTATATCAAAATGGAAATACGCAGGTTTACAACTAAATTTTCAAAGGAAAGGGCAAGGGAAAGGAAGGAAAAAATAGAAAAGCTAGAAAAAGAAATTGAAGACTTGGAAGAGAATCTATTATCAATCAATAATGTACATTATAAAGATATCCTTGAACAACTGAAAATTAAGAAACAACAACTAAGAGTATTTTATGACTATATTAATGAAGGTTTAAAAATACGATCAAGGGCCTCTTGGTATGAATGTGGAGAGAAGAATACAGCATTTTTTAAACAGCTCATGGAAGCAAATAGAAAGAAAAGTGTAATACAGAAATTAAACGTAAACGGAAAGATTGTTACTAAGGAAAAAGAAATTGTCGAGGGAATAAAACAGTTTTACAGTCAGTTGTATAAAAAAATAGAAGTTGTACTAGATGGAGGTTTAGAATTTTTCCCTAGTAACATGCCAAAATTGAACGAGACCTTAAGGGGTTTAGGTGAAGAAAAGATAGTAGAAAGGGAATGTATAGAAATATTAAAAAATATGAAATTAAATAAATCACCAGGAAATGATGGCTTAAGTGTAGAGTTTTATCTTAAATTTTGGCCGGTAATTGGAGATCTAATCCTTGCATCTTTTAATGAAGCCTTTAATCATGGAGAACTATCGGCCTCTCAGAGACAAGCAGTTATTACCTTGATACATAAAAAAGATAAAGATTCAGACTTTATTAAGAATTACAGACCGATTTCTCTTTTAAATGTGGATTATAAAATTTTAACAAAGATACTTTCAAAGAGATTGCAAGAAATTTTACCTGATATTGTATCTTCTGATCAACTTGGATATGTTAAGAATAGAAACATTGGAGAAGCCATAAGAATAATAGATGACATGATTTTTCATACTTCTTTTTATAAGGAAAATGCTTTTTTGATGGCCTTAGATTTTGAAAAGGCATTCGACTCTGTTTCTCATTGTTTTCTATACAAAGTCTTAAATTCATTTGGTTTTGGACCATTGTTTTGTAAATGGGTGAATATACTTTATACTAATACTGAAAGTTGTGTTATGAATGGAAACGCATCAACAGGTTATTTTAAAGTTGAAAGAGGAATTAGACAAGGAGACCCATTATCTCCATACCTGTTCATTTTATGCATTGAAATTTTAGCTCATACGATTAGAAACAATCAATTGGTAAAAGGAATTTGTTTTGGAAATACAGAAATAAAGCAAGTATTATATGCTGATGATATAACACTCTTCATCAAAGATATGAGTTCAGTTAAGGAAATAGAACACGTTTTAGAAGGTTTTTATAAAATATCAGGATTAAAGTTAAACAAGGATAAGACATATATTCTGCCCCTGGGCCCACAGGTGTCTAATAACACATTTCCGTTTGGGAAACTTGTAGATGCTGTTAAAATATTAGGTGTTTATTTTTCAGTTCATGTAGATATCAAGGAAAAAATGAATTATAAGGAAATATTGAGCAAAATTAAAAAACTACTGACGTGGTGGAAACAGCGTGACCTAACTTTAATGGGTAAAATTCAATTGATGAAAGTATATGGATACTCTAAATTGACATATGTAACATCACTAATGCCAGTTCCAGAGTGGGTATACAAAGAAATGGAAGTAATATGTTTTGATTTTTTGTGGAGAGGTAAAGATAAAATTAAAAGAAGTACAATGATGTTAGACTATCAGCAGGGTGGGCTCAAAATGATGAATTTTAGGTTGTTTGTAAAAGCACAAAGAATAATGTGGATAAAAAGGCTTGTAACAGGAACTCATGATATCAAGTGGAAACAATACTTTAAATATTTAATGAGACCGATAGGAGGTAATTTAATATTTTATTGCAATTATTGGAGAGATACAGTGAAACTTATGTTACCTTCCTTTTATCAGAATCTTCTGAAAGCATGGATAGATATGAAAGAATATGTTAAAACAGAAGAGAGATACAAAGGGAATGAAATATTGTATAATAATAATTTTATTCAACTAGAAGGTCAAACCTTATTTGAGGAAACTTTGTTTTTGAAAAATATATATCGAATTCATCACATTTGTGAAGAAAATGGAGAATTGAAACCTGAAGCTCATTTTATAATGTTAGGTTTGAGCAGAGTGGAAATTGATAAAGTAAAACAAATTTATAACGTAGCCCCTTATGAATGGAAACAGAATGTTCAACCTTTAAGAAAAGCAATTCACACTGGCTTTAGTTTAGAATTTATTTTTTCAAAGAAAGTGTTTACATTTGAAGATTTAACTGCAAAAATGGTATATAAGAGTCAAATTAAAAAGAATGTAGAAACAAACTCGGCAGGCGGCAATTTAATGACACTTTACAATATTCCAAGAAAAGAAGTAGAAAAGATATATGTTCAACCAAGGATGTGTACCTTAAGTAGTAAACTGCGAGAATTTCAGTTCAAATTATTGCATAATATTTTATATACAAATCATCATTTACATAGATTCAGGTTCCATGAAAATGGTTTGTGCTCATTTTGCA